GTGCAATCCCAAGTTTCCAACTACCTTGAACAATCCAACCAACTCGATCCTCTCCAATCTGGCTTCCGTCCTGGCTACTCTACACAATCTGCTCTGATTAAAATTACTAGTGATATCCAGACTGCAATAGATGACAAAAAACTAACCATACTTATACTGCTTGATTTCTCCAAAGCTTTCGATTCCATTATCCATTCCATCCTTTTCAACAAACTAAAATCATTATCCTTCTCCAATAGTTCCATCTCTTGGTTCCAGTCTTTCCTCTCACAACGAACCCAAGCAGTTTCCATACCTAATCAACCTCTATCTGCCTACCTTCCTTTATCCTCAGGAGTTGCACAGGGTTCAAGCATGTCTCCTCTTCTTTTCAGTTCTTATATTAATGACCTAAATGATTCAATTATCCATTGTTCCCACCACCTTTATGCCGACGATTCTCAAATCTATTTATCCTTTTCTCCCGCTGAGTTATTGGTGGCATTTGCCAAAATTCAAGAAGATTTAGATCGAATTAGTGCCTGGGCCAACTTAAATGGATTAAGGCTAAATGCTGCCAAAACTCAGGCCATTCTCATTGGTTCCAAGCCCCTTCTTAGATCCCACACCAACTTTCCCTCACTCTATCTAAACAACCACCCCATCACCTTCTATCCCTTTGTTAAAAATTTAGGCTTTCTCATAGATCAAACCCTTTCCTGGAATCACCATATCTCTCATATATCCCGCCGTGCAATTTCTACCCTCAAACTATTCCATCACTTCCGCCATCTTCTACCCCAAAATACCCGTAGACTCATAGTTTCCTCTCTCATCTTTCCCCACTTTGACTACAGCTGTGTGGTGTACGATGGCCTCTCGGTGGAACTGCGTGATAGACTCAAAAGACTTATGAATTGCTTCGTAAGATTTGTAATTGGAACCCCGAGACGCTCCCGTGTCTCCCACCACTACACTGAGTTAGGGTGGCTCTTCCCCTCCTTAAGAAGACAATATTTCCTTGGCACTTTCCTTTATCAAATCATTACCGATCATCGTCCTTCTTATGCCTACAACCTTCTCCAATTTAAGTCCTCAATCCATTCACTCACTACAAGATCCCGACCCTCTGACCTATACATCCCTTCTCATAGATCTGCCTCATTCCAAAATTCCTTTATAGCCCGCTCTGTCAACTTTTGGAATTCCCTCCCGATCAAAATTCGACATGCCCCTTCCCTGTATACATTCAAAAACCTCCTATTCCAATTCCTGTTCCAAAAACAGTCTGATACCAGCTAACTATTGATATTATATATGTATTGTGTAGCAATCATATAATCATAACACTTGGTAAGAGATAGTACATGCATTTCCTACTATCGGCGTAGGAATTTCAATACATACATTTTTTTTTTTTTTATTCAATTATAAGTAACTGTTTATTTTTATATATATATTCAAGTAAAGTTTTTTTTTTTTTTTATGAAATGAACTCATTGTATCTCTTTTTCGTTCTTCATTTCTCAAAGTGTATGTTTATGTTGTTCAACCCTTAAATATAATTTTGTTCATAGTTCAAGTGATTCGTTCATAGTTTTAATTGTTTTGTTCGTAATTTTAAATGCTCTGTACATAGTTTTACCTGTTTGTATATAGCTTATGCACCTAAGGTTTTCTTTACTTTTATTTTATTTTATCAATTTTATTTATTGTTTCAACGTTCAGGCCAGTAATATTCTATTATTTTGTACATTTTTGTTATTCTGAAGGGACTTAGTCCCAGAATAAAGTTTTTTTTTCTATTCTATTCTATTCTATTCTATATATATATGTGTGTGTGTGTGTGTGTGTGTGTGTGTGTGTGTGTATGTGTGAGTGTTGCACCTGTGCATTACATTAAATGCAATTTTGTGAATTTTTATGGTAATCATCAGGAAGCTAATTTTTTTCTTTCATTGTGTGCAATGGACTAAGTTATGCGGCAATTACGGAGATGAATATTCCTTTGTGAATCGTGGGCCGAAACACGAAAATTGAATTCGAAACATTGAAAATTCCAAACTTTCAATTGCGTTTTTCCCTAAATACGAATTTGGCACTAAACGCCCGCCTATTGCAGAGATGAATATTATTTTGTGAATCATGGATCGAAATTAAAAAATTGATCTTGGAACTATGAAAATTCTAAACTTTCAATTGTGATTTTCGTAAATATGATTTTTGCACTTTATCTACTATACACAGGTGCCACAGATATTCTGTGAGCCGGAATATGCACCCCTCTCCTCACATACCAATGAAATTCATATCGTTGTGTTCCTTGTAACTATTAAAAAAAACAATGTTCCTATGAAAAAAAGTGAACGCACTGCCCCAAAATGGTATCCAAAAATGGCGCACTGGCGACTTTGACTTGAGTCAGTTTTTTGGTCACTGGGAATCAGCATTTGGTTTAATTTCGTCATAATTGGCCTTTTAATAAAGCTGAATAGTCAGAAAATCATGAAACAATATAAAAAAAAATTTGTTTAGGCAATGAAAAACACCAGTAAAGTAAATTTAAAAAACAAAACAATTCAGGTTGAAAATCAATCGTCGTTTGTAATTAAAACGGCCAACAATAACGGAAAACTTCAAGAAGTAAAACATTTGGGAAATTTATTTTTCTTTCTAAGACACTGATTACGTTTTTTAATATTTGAAATGGTTTTGTAGAAAATGCACTTAACCAGCGGAAAAATAGTATTGGCGTAGGTTCCTACAGGCCTCTGCCATATCATTTAGGTAGTACTAATATATGGCGTAGTCATAGTGGTATAATATCATTTTTGGTAAATTATATTGATTGTATTAACGAAGAAATATTAGTACAATAAATTAATTCCAAAAAAAAATTAAGCAACTTTTTATTTTATTTTTTTTTATAATTCTTTATTTTTTTTAAATATTATTTCCTTTATTCTATACGAAGATCGTTTAAGAATGCGTTTATTGTAAAAATTATATAATTATAATAATGAAACGTATTAATCATCTAAAATATTTTACTGAATAACTTGAAATTTTTATTAATGTTTGCAATTTACTACTTTGTTTTGTATATTAAATGATTCTTAGAGGTAATTTAAATTGTATATACTTCCCCTGAAATGAGTCATATTAATAGCTGTTTTATAAATTAAAATAATATATACCTAATCTGAACTACATATAATGAATAGTTGCCGGGTTGTTTAATAAAACTCATATATCACTAACAATCATATTCTTATTTATCCATAAAAAATAGATTGAATTTTAAGATTGAATGCATTATTCTTTCTGCACAAAGAATGATGGAAAGGGTGAAGCTGTATATTCTTCTTTTTAACCAGAGCTCTGTTCTTTGAGAATTAGTGTTTGGTATCAAAATGAAATTGAATCTAAAAATAGGAAAAATACATTAAGCGAACGAGGAAGGAATTGCCGAAATCTCGGAAAAGAAAATAAGAATCAGTATACATTATATGGATAAACGAATATATAGTAGACAGATGAACAGAATATTTCAAGATCTGCTAAAAGGGGGTAAAATGCTATGGCAGTTTGGATGATATTAAGGGGACGATGGCGGTTTATTATGGTGATGACCATTTTATATGCAAAAAAAGATGATTTCGAAGCAATGGGCAAGTCATTAGGTCTGGACGAAGTAACGCGAAATGCTGCGCTTACATAGGCAACACATGTGAAGGCATATTTCTCCGTTTTTTTAATATATATTGATTAGTATGTCATTAGAAAATGATTTGATAAGACTGTAGTTTTATTCCTTTACAAGCAAGAAGGTACCAGGAAATCTAATACCCATCGAGATTCATTCCTGTTCAGTATGCCAAAGAAGCTCCACTCAAAAATCGTAAAAGCTAGAATAAGAAATATCGTCAATTAAATCTTCCATACTAACTCGAACTTAAAAAAAAAAGTTTATTTGGCAAAAAGTTTACAATGAACAAAACATATATGTTACAACAACTAAACTAACTATGGTATCTAACTATCTACTATGAGTGACAATGTCTGACTACTTGCTAGGCGGGTAAGGGAGGGGTATTTATACAGAGTCAGGAGAAATATGCTGACTCCAGGGATTCACCATTATTTGGCTACCTTAAGTGTCGATTGCTAGAGACATATGAATTGAGAAACTCAAAGTTTCACATTGAAACAGAATTCGCACATTGGGAATATTTTCACTTTAAAGCAGGTTACAGATAAGTTCATCGAGAAAGGGAAATAAAACTATGTGCTTAGTGTCTCGCACTTTGAATTGTGCAAATATCTACTTAAGAAAAGCTCGTTTTATGTTTTCTTTTATGATTACTTCAAAGATCTTGTCCAAATTCAGTAAACAGAAATAGAGCCACTACCCTTTTTCCTATAACCTGCTTTAAAGTGATGATAGTCTCAATGTGTAACTTAACGAGCAATCGAAAAAAAAATGTTCCTTATCTTCTACAACTAACCCACACTGAATGGAATGAATATAGAGTCCAAGAATTTTTTCAAAATGATGCGCACACTGGTTAAACAAATAAAGAATTTGTTTGTGTTTTTCAAAAGTAAATTTAAGATCGAAACGTAGTTAAACAACAAAAAAATCAATAATAAATATAACCTTCAACGGCCGATCGAATAAGAGAAAAAAAGGGTGGAAATATGCCATCGATGAATGACTGGGATCACGCTATTTGTTCTGACAATTAGCAGGTACAAGCAGCGGTTATTTCTCGCATGGTCACCTTCTCAGTAGGCAGTCATCCATTCTGCAGGACTAGAAGGCAGAGCTTCCCCATCGCTAATCATACAGTGGATTGTTGACTCTCGGCCATGAATAGTTAACTGTTGGTTGAATTAGCACGTCCAAGAAAAAAAAAAAGTCGTTCATTGCCAGCAGAGTAATACCAGCGATCACATCATCGAGGGGTTTGACTGGTTAGGAACTCAGAAGCGGGAGGATCCCAAACTATCTCGTCAGGATGTGGGACTGGAGGCAGCTTAGGTGGTTATCTTATTTCGGCTGGTGGCCAGCTGCGGCCAAGACAAAGCGAGCCTATAAGATGTTGAGGTAAATGATGAGATACCAGCTCATGGATCTCTGTTTATGTAATAGATAAAACTAACTTAAATAATAGAATTATTTACGAAGAAATAACGAATTATTTACGACTTATCTACGTAATGTAGTCTTAATGTTCTTAATTAATCGAAGTGCATTGCGATCTATCTCAATCCCAATTTTGTATATATTAAAAAAAAAATTCAAATGGCAAAGTTTTCCTTTGAGCTTGTTTTAGAACTTTTGAAAGTAATATTAATGCAAAGAAGGAAAATATCAAAAAAACATATTTCATTAAGGATGGATGTTTTAAAAAGGATTCAATGCCAATATCATCCATGCTTGACTTTAAAAAAAATCATCAAAGATGCATATCAATATAGCTCGTGGAAATGCCCCCATTGCGAAATATAAGAAATTTAAAAATATTGCATTTTGGACACCATGAATACGGATTGTTAGTGATTCCTATGATCAAAAATCTCAAATTCCTGATGCCATCATCATTTTTATATTTTCTTTCAATATCTGATATTTACAGGAATATATTTATTATCATTATGAAGAAAGACTATTTCAAACTCAGTATAGAGTGTAGAATCGAATACTTATGTAATTTTTTGGTTATGATTTTATATTCTCAGCTTAAAAATTTAAAGAATTTGAAGATACAAATTCTTATGCTCTAAACTAAGAAAATAATGGACCGAATCTAAAAAAAACTTTCTAATTTGATCTTGATCTTTTCCTATTTTTTTGAATTCTTATTGGTTCGAAAACTTAAAAATTATTGCTACTAGGATTAAAATAGATCTCTCCCATCAAACAATGATCTTATTTGTCTTCAATGTTTTTCGGGGTATCTAAAAGGAGAAGGGTGTTAGGATATACGATAACATCTGCTTAAAAGTTGGGACCTTACTTCTTTTTCCTTACCTATTAACTAAAGTGCTCATCAGATTGTTTTAGAATGTATAAAATAATAATACCCTTGACAACCAAGCATGCACTTAGCTTAGGCTAGAACTACAAAAAAAAAAAAAAAAAAAATCTGTACCACTACATCCCATGATGGGTCTTGGGTTCATTACTATTTAGGGAAAGCACTGTTCCTTGGTCTACGGTTAGCAAGGAGGTGATTTGACCGAGATTACGCTCAACCGCCAGGTTTTTCCCCTTAATCAATTATTTTAATTAAGAGTATCCATTTTATAGAGTCTGGGTGTGCCCCCACGGCCAATGAAACAGAATAAATAATTTTTCTGCAATAAGCCGGTATTCGAACGTGGGCCCTTTAGAATTGGAAGCTGAGTACCCAACCACTGAGCTACCCCACTCCCTGTTAGAACTACAGCTACGGTCATATTTGATTTCATCGAGAAGAAACTACATATTATCGAATCTGAAAATCATAACTTGATTTTATCATTATCAATTCAGCCCAAACAACGGGATGTTCTAATTCCCTCAGTAATATCTGCTTTTATAAATGTTTGAAGATTTTGTATTCGCCATTTGAAAATATTTAATTACAGTTACAATCGCTAGAGTGCAGGATTGAAAATTTTTCATATTCAATAGTTAGCAATCTACTATATATAAGTCCGTTATGCGGTTCGGACGCAGTGCCTTTATGTGTGTCTCAACCGTAATACTAAATAGTTTTTACATATTTATGCTAGAAAAGCTTAAACAATTTGAACTTAATGTGTAATTATCAAGAAGAGAAGATGATGTTTTATTGTCGTATTTTTTCCTGAAATCGACACATAAAATACTGCAAGGATCAATGATAAATTAAATCTAATTAAATTATTTATTTTATAAAAAAAAATCTGTGATTTTTACAGAATATACGGTATCATACTGTTCCTCTATGACTTTTTGCAACTGGGCCCCGAGCTAATAGCATTATACTTAGTGATCTGTAAGGGCTCGATGAAAGAGGTGGTGCTTACCCTCAACAACAACCTCCTGGGCCTCGGCAGCGCCTGGAATATAGGATGGGTTCTCTTCAACGAGAGGAACATTATGTGGATCATAAAAAAGTTAGAAGGTATGTCATGGCATGTTGCTTACCTTTTATAAAGATTATGTACTCATAAACCATCAAGTATCTCAAATAAAGTATATAGTTTTTACTAATGGCACGCATACATGGCAAAAATTCGCCAATCGTTCCGGCTACAGCAATTTGCCAATACGGATTATTGAAAATTAGAAAATTATCGCAATGTGTCTGGCCGTATCTTAAGTAAACTTATATGTAAAGCACCTCTGTAGGGTAAAAAGTCATTGAAGTTTGATTTTTGCATTAATATTGTCCTGGTTTTCAATTTTCAACGAAAATATTAATAAAATTAATTGTTTATTATTAAACGAATTTCTCGAGAAAAGGTGTCAGAATGATAATAAATTTGTTTATTTTACATTGATGTCGACGTAAATTTTTCTAAACAATATTTCTCCTAAGTCATCGGATATGAACTGTAAGTTAAATCACTGGAGCTGAAGGTTTGTTTGTTTGTTTTGATGTCTAGGCGCAAAACATCCAGGTCATAAGCGCCCGATCAACTAAATAACATCACTTAATACTATTTGGATGGTTGGTACAAAAAATAAAATAAAAAAAGAAATGGATTGATAGAATAAAATAAATAAATAAGGATAATTATAGGCATTAGAATAATTATCGCAATGTGTCTGGCCGTGTCTTAAGTAAACTTATATGTAAAGCACCTCTGTAGGGTAAAAAGCCATTGAAGTTTGATTTTTGCATTAATATTGTCCTGGTTTTCAATTTTCTAGGTGCCCTTCTTTATAGGTAATAAGATGTGTAAATAGAAGAATGTATAAATAAACTAACTTTAAAAAATAGCAGTAAAATCAATAAATGAATTGAGATTAATAAACAAATTAATTTAAAATGAAATGAAATCAAATAAAAAAAATAATAATAAGAGAAAATAGAATAAAAATAAATAGATAAAAAAAAATCTGCAAAGGATCATTAATTATAAGCCTGTCATATGTGTTTCTTAAGTCTTTCACTATCCAAGAACTTGATGACTTTGGTAACAATTTCTTCTTGATTTCCCAGTGATGCTGATATATTCTGGGGTATTCCGAGATCTTTTAATCTTGCGGTGTAAAAAGGGCATTCTTCCAAAATATGTTTTATAGTTAGTGATTGGTTACACTTTTGACATTTGGGGATAGGATCTTTTGTTATGAGGTGGAGGTGAGTCAGTCTAGTATGTCCGATCCTCAGCTGCGGGAGAACCGCGTGGAACTGAAGGATTTCCAGTTTTCTACATCACTCTTCTCTTTAACTTTGGTTACTAGTCTTCCGTTGAGATTTTCAATTTTTTTTTTTAAATTTCATTTGCGCAAGGAAATCACAAGGCAAGTTGTAGTGCAACGGCTTTAAACAATCGATTTAATGATGAAGTAGAAATGGAAAAAAATAACTTCAACCTTCGGTTTGAACCAAGGAGGTGTAACTTAAGACCTTTTATAGTTCCTAAAAAAAGGTTCTTTGAAGCAAGAAATACTCTCACAAAACTAAAACCTGTCGTACTGTTTAGACTTGGAAATCGAAGTACAGGAGATGATTGGAAGCGAAGAATACGACAAGATTGCCGCTCCCAAATACAAACTCTGCAGGAACTATGTCGTTACAATCTACATATTCTTGGCGGGCCTCTTTCAATTGACCATATATTCTTTGTATTGGACCTATAACGGCCACGTAGTAAGTAAAAAATTTTCTTTATTGTATAAATCTTAGAAGTTTTTCATGTTAATTAATGTAGCTTCGGTAGTGTTGCCCAAAATCGGTCTTGGTCTTGCACTTTGCAAGACCAAGACCAAGGCCGCCTAACTGTTGCAAGACCAAGACCAGGACTGGTAAAAAAATAGATTTTTAAAATAAAAATTAAGGAAAAACACTTACTTATACTTGACAATCTTAGTTTCTATATGTTAATAACTGGTGTAACCAATATCCTTTTGCATTTAACTCCTCAAAATTACAGTAATATCTGTATAGTAATAAGCTAATAAGTAACTGCAAGACTGTTGCGAGAGTCTTGCGCAAGACCAAGACCATGACCAAGACTGAGTTTGCAAGACCAAGACTCGTTTCGGTCTCGCATTTGGGCAACACTAAGCTTCGGTTTCACGTATTTATTACGGTCAAATAGAAATAATTATAGACAATTGGGGTATTCATGCTAAGTATTATAAATCTCTAAAATAAGTTAAAGTTGAGAAACTTATTTAAGAAATGTGTGTTAAATATGACCGCTAACATAGTCGATTTAAAAGCAGTCTGTGGTCATGAAAAGCGGTGTTAATTTCGTAAACGCACGGAGAAGGTAATAAAGAGATCGTACAATATTGGGGGGGGGGAGGAGGGCAGGGGACGGTACATGCTATACAGCCGGGACCCCTTTTCTTGTAAGATAAAAAAATGAATATTTTGATGAGAGGAATATTTGTGAATGGCGCCACCTGTTACTTAGTTAATCTCTTTCAATATTGTTTCCATTTAATCTCCCTGAAGGGGCAATTAATTTTATTGAGTAAGGTAAAATAGATAATTCGATTTATGTTACGAGGTAAATATGGTAAAGGGCCATTCTCATTCCTGTTGATTTGTTGCTTCTCTGACTATGCCGTCTCTGTTCTCAGGCAACCACCCCGTACCTCGAGAGGGGGTACGACAGAATGAGGCCGTGGGGGGGAGGGAGGGCTCCATGTTATTTTCACAAGCCAATCATAAATACATGATATAAAATACCAAACAATATATATATATATACACATATATAAAACTGTGGATGTAAATCCAACAGAGATTTTGATGTCAAGTTTAATTCTATATAGCAGTCAACTGATTCAATTTTGTACAATACCACAAACAATTGGACTGAAGTTGGGTGTTTTTTTATTGAACAGACAAGGTTGTATTGAATTTCGGTACTTATGTAATAGCGGCTAGAGTCGAAACCTCCCTTCTTATCTAATCTGATTTCACATTACCTCCGTTATCTCATCTAACCCAAGTAATTCACTTGTTTATTTTTTTTTTCTTGTGTTAGCTGTGAGTTAGTGTTGTTTAATTATGGATGTTGTCACATTGTGGGAAGTACCGTCTTCAGAAGAAGAGGCTATCAAATATTTTCAAGACGCCCGGATATTTGCAAATGTCAAATATTGTGATGAAGGTCATCAAATGAAGTTAGACGGGAAGATTAAATGGAGATGCTTTCGTAGTTGTAACAAAACCGTTTCTATACCGTTCTAAGGAAAGGAACGTGGTTAGAGAGGTCGAGGATTTCTTTTTTAATGGCTTTAAAATTCATTTACGGATGGTCTCATAATTTAACAACAATACAGTGAGGGAAAGAGCAGCTCAAACTATCCAACGCAACTATCGTAACATGGAACAAATTTTTAAGAGAAGTTTCTGCCCATGACATGTTATACAGGTCGAATAAAAAAATTGGAGGGCCTGGCAAAGTCGTCGAAGTAGACAAGAGTCTTTTTTCGAAAAGAAAAAATCATGTAGGGAGAGTCCTAACTGAGCAATGAGTGTTTTATCGTCAAAATAAACGATAGAAAAGCAACAACTTTATTAGAGGCCATTAATTTTATATATATATACATATATATATATATATATATATACATATATATATATATATATATATATGTATATATATTTAAAATTAATAAATAATAAAAAAATACTTTCATTTTACAACATATTTATTAAAATAGACCAAAACATTATACATATATAATTAAAAACTTTACGAGAACATTGCAACATATATATATATATATATATATATATATATATATATATATATATATATATATATATATATATATATATAGATAGATAGATAGATAGATAGAAAGTAAACTTTATTCTGGGACAAGGTCCCTTATGAATAACAGATATGAACAAAAAAATTAAAACTACATCTGGCCAAAAATTACATTAATCAATATTAAAGAATATATACAGTATCTTCAGTGAAATTAAATTAAAACAAGTAAAAATAAAATAAAATTTTGAGAAAAAACGAAATAAAAAAAAGACAACATTATTTAAATGAAGATAAAAATAAAATAAAATAAGCATGGGTTGATTTTTAAAATTAAGACAATAAATTTTATCAATCATTCACCTCAGTCAAAATCTATTTCACAATATTTATTTTATTGTATAACGTCATTTTGGGATGTGAGAAGGAATTGGTAAAGATGATATTTAAATGAGGACAAGGAAGAGGCATGGCGGATTTCAGATTGCAAGGAATTCCAGAAGGCTGTGGATCGGGAAATAAAGGAATATTCAAACGTCATTCAGGGTTATATATACATATATATATATATATATGTTGCAATGTTCTCGTAAAGTTTTTAATTATATATATATAATGTTTTGGTCTATTTTAATAAATATGTTGTAAAATAAAAGTATTTTTTTATTATTACTTTAGTTTTTGTTCACAATTTCAATAATATCAATACAATACAATAAATATGAATACGAAGATATAATAATATGAATATAAGACAATAAATATGAATACGAAAAGCTTATCAGTGTTGAGGTTATAAACATTGGCAGATAGCAGTCGGACGCTACCCGCTATTAAATAAGTACCTGAATTTCATTTAAGAATTTATTTATTTAGTCTTTATTTGTTTTCATGGAAGAATCCCATGCAAATAGAGTCTATCTCTATATTATATATAGCATTAACCTTATTGTACAATATATGAAGGGGCTGCAACTTTATGAAGGGAGCAATTTTTGACGTTCTTTTCAATTTGTTTTTTGGGAGGCACATTTCGACAGGTTATGAAAAGATTAAAATTAAAAGACAAGTAGAAGCCTGGAAAAGACCCTATCATATGTAATTGTATCTAATCTTTGAATATTTAAATTCTACTTTCGTTCGTACTTTTTTTAAGAAGAAGAGAGGAATAAAATATCTTAGGAGAAGTGAGGCAAGGTTTATGGCGCCTTCGGCATTGGAGGGAGGGAAGAGATGGACACTCCTGTGGAGGAGAACTTACAAACTTTGTTTAAAATATAACCATAACCTTGCTATAACTAATACCGTAAGATGGAGTAACTTTGGGACTGGATGGGCAACTTTGGGACAGCGGATAAAATTTATTTTGTGGTGATTGAGTGGTGGATACACTGTTTTGGTCCTGTCAACATGGACAGCGCATGTACTGCGCTACTACCTTGCGGCACACTACTCTTGAGGCACAAGCGAAAGTTTCATGGATTTTGAAAAAAGCAATGGAAATAAATAAAACCTAACTGCACAACGAGTGTTCTCACTAACTAGGGTTCTCAAACTGCAGCAAGGTAGTAGTGCAGTACATGCCTACATTACGGAATCACCTCAAACTAATTTTACCCGCTGTTCCAAAGTTACTCCTTCTTACGGTAATAGTTTAGCAGGTTCGCAAACAGGAGTAATTTGTCATTAATTTAAAATTTGTGGTAAGGTTTTACTACAAGCTGCATGAATACCTCTAATATCTATGTATTTTCAAAGTACGTAAGACATACAGAAATGTATATTAACATAATTATTTCCTACTATAAGCAAATAGATGACCATTTTAAAATATTACACTTTGCAGAGCTACATCGTAGAGACCTGGGTTCCTTGGAATACAAACAACTTACAATCTCTGATCATCTTATACACACTTCAACTGGTCCACAGCTATTCTGGCCTCACGGCATACGCTACAATATACCACTTGTACATGTCAATTTTCGAAATGATATTACTCGAAATTAAAGCTTTCCACGTAGCTCTTTCGAAACTGGACTTCTCCTCACCAGGGGTAGATTGCCATCCTCCTCTGACCCTCGAATCATGTGTTAAGTTTCACCAGGATCTTCTAGCGTGAGTATAAATATTATAAGTAAAATATATAAAAATAGATACATATTTTTTTTTGTGGACCAAAACACTTCTTTATTGAATAATCTTACATTCTGTCACAACTAAGGACATCAGTAAAAAGTGAATTCATTCATGTATGTACAATAAATAAAAATAAATTAAATAGAACAACTTCAAAATAATAAATATATGTAACCAAAAATAAAATTAGTTTTTTTTTTGTGTCTTCTCTTCTTACCCTTTTAGGTTCTACAGGGTTTTTTCGTGGCAAAGGGTTAAGGACCGGGGATTAACCCCAAAGTCAACATCGCACCGAGACGCGAACTAGCTCTTATTTTATCAATTATATTTTGATCAGGTGTTTGGGTAACAACGGTACTGTGCACAACCGTTAGCCTCCTCGGAGACCACAATCCCAAGAAACTTAAACTAATCAAAATAACTACTAGGCATACATTTGTACAATATTTAAAAAACTCATTCACTCAGGAGGACACCGAGCCAAGCCTTTCACTCCAATCGTGGAAGGAAAAACAGGACTCTAAGAGATCCCGGCACCTTTCGCTCAGCCACGTCACTGGTATTAAGGACCAGTGAAGGCTGAGCAGAGGCGCTGCTGTAACCGCAGACGTACCTGGCATGAGTGGAGAATCTGGCCATTCCTAGAACTCCAATATATGCTTAAGTACAAAAGGTTCCCTCTGGATCGAGTATTGTATGGAAATTGTTTTATAATTTTTAATATAAAAAGAATCTAATAAAATATTTTATTTCCAGATTATGTAAAAAATATGACAAGACGATAAACGTTACACTTTTCCTATTTATTATGTTTAGTTCTATGACGCTGTGTTTATCTGTTTTTGAACTTTCGTTAGTAAGTATTGCACTAATTATTGTATATCTAAGTATTTTTAAATAGAATATTCAGTCACTTCATATATATATATATATAAAAAAAAAGCAAAACATCTTGAATCAGTGATCAAGAAATTATACTATTATATATGTATTTCATAATAATAGATAACTATCTTCATATACGTTACATTTTTCAGATACAAGACAGAGGTAAACTAACGATTCTTGTCGAATTAATTCTACTCACTATGTCGATGACGTACTTTTATTGTGTGAGTAGCCAGGAAACTGTTGAGCAGGCAAGTTTTAATACAATTTATATAATTTATAAATTTAAATAAGATAGGCATATATAAAGATAAAAAGTATTTCTTTAATTTATAGTAAATGTATGGTATATATATATATATATATATATATATATATATATATATATATATATATATATATATATATCGTTTTTCTTTTCTTTTTTTTTATGACATTAAGATTTCACACAAAATCCTATTTTACCAGAAATTTATTTTATTCAATTATTAAAACCGTAATTTTGTTTTTCTTATGATTTTTTTTTCAGTATTTTGTGTCCTTCTCTGTCTTAATCTTTTATTGTTTTAGTAATATTGAGTGCCGACCCCTCAATATATTTTCTCCTCTTGTTGCTAAACAGTTTACAGTATATCGCTAAATGTAGTATATTCTCAACTTTAATAAAATTTAAAAAATATATATAAATATTTCTTCCAACGTTACAAGCTTAATTAAAACAGTATTAAGGAGACATCGTAGTGAAGTATTTCATGTAGTATAAACTAACCATGACGAATATGCTAGATGATTCCCTTGAACTTTTTTTTTTTTTTGGAATAATATTTTCATTCATTATGCTCGATTTTCTTATACTAATTTTAGGAACACTAATAGTTTCATATAAATTATTATTATTATTTTTTACTTTCGTACCTACTAGGTAAGAAAAGTATTGCGAGAGGGTCAAATTTCCGATTTGCGGTTTTCGAAGGATCTATACGTTTCAGAGCCCCTGGGTCTGAATAACACATTTTTAGCCATTGGTCTGTCTGTATGTGCCAAGATTTTGTTGCTTCTTTTTTTTATTTTGTAGGGTTTTGACTACCAATGCCTGTGACAGAAATTCGGTGTTCCATGCGCATAGCTTGCGCGCAATAAATGAAAAACACGTTTTTCTATAGACTGTAGCGCAAAAACGGCTCGAACGATTTTTATTAAACTTTCCTATAATGTTCTACTCATTGCCATGTTTTTTTTTTTTTTTTTTTTTTTTTGAAATTGGATGAAATTCCTTACAAAACGATATAAAAATCGTTCATTTTGGACAACTATTAACGAAGTTACAGCTACTCAATTTCCAATTTAAGATTATGGATTCATATCCTAGTGTCAGAAAGTGGTAAATGAGAGAAAAAAGATGACTAAGTGAAAGTAAGAAAATCTGTTGCCCAAATCACCCAAGCTTCAATATTTTCTCTACTTTTAACAAAAATTATTGTTTGTCAAAATTAAGCTATGGCAAAAAGTTTTTGATCAGCAATATTAGAAAGTATTGAAATTTTTACACTGATCTACCTTAAGGTATTAATTCTTAAGCCGGTTTTCATTGCTTCAGTGTATCAAATAAATCGTACTCTAATCTTTTCTTTGATCAATATTCAGGAAAATTAATTTAATTCAATTTTTTTTTCTTCATGAACATAAATAAAGATATAAAAACTTTTCAGAAATAAATAAGAAAATCGTGTAAGTTGACATACCAGATTTTTTAATCTGTAGTCGCCTCTACCCTAGAGTGCCATTGGTTATTATTATTATTTGCAATTATTATTGTAATTATTAATAAAATTATTAGTTGTAATAAGTGTAAGTTCTATAACAAAAATTACATTATACATATGTTAAACTTGTTTATTTATATGACCACAATCTTGTGTAATAGGTAATAGTGTTGTGCCAATATTTTAAATTTTTCGGTAACATGAACTTGTACTTTCCATACAATTTCTAAACTATAAAATAAATTAACATTAAAATATAATAATTTTATCTGGTGATTTCCTTTTAGATGACTATTGGAACATTACGCTCAGCATACGACAACAATTGGTACGTCGGCAGCGTGAAGGACAAGAAAGCATTAATCTTACTCTGCAAAATGGCTAAGAAAGAATTTCAATTTGGATTTATCATACCTACAAATTTACCAACTTTCATAACGGTAATTTTTTATTCATGGTACGTACATATAAACACGCATCTAACCCACAAAACCAGTTTTGAAACCTAATGAAAATACAAAGACTCCAGGGTGAAACGTAGGTATAATAGAAGAATATCATTAAAAAATTCCAAGACAAATTCTTATGTCTTACAAGTAGAATAGAATAGAAAATTAAACTTTATTCTGGGACTAAGTCCCTTTAGAATAACAATGATGAGTTAATACAAAGTAAAATACAAATCTGGCCAAAAACTAACTTCTAAAAATTTTAATATTATATACATTATTTAAAAAGTATTTAACCAGTAAAACATAAAAAATAAAATATATATACAAATGAACATAAAAACTTCTCAAAATTACTTAATTGTGATGAAAAAAAAAAAAAAGAAGAGAAATTACATATTTATATATACATAACTACACAATTTATAAACAATAGGCTATCTAATAGAAAACTAACTTAATACAAAATGAAATAATATCTACAGTGGTTTATATAATAATATGCAGACACTAAGATAAAATAAAGTCTTACGATACTTGTGGTGTAACGGAAAAAAAAAAAATAACTAAAAGGAACTATTTATACGTACATTCTCATATTGGCACACATAAAGACAAAGATATAAAATATGAACATATATACCCGAAAAAAAAAGCACAACCTGAGGAGAAGAGAAAAATAAATAAATAGTAAAAATAATAGTCAAACTAGGTGACAAAGATCATTGCTGTTTTATGTTAAAACTTAAACAGTAGGCACCACTATTTACTTCACGCAAATTCAGTTCATAAAATGAAATTTATGGTGGTAAATCTTCTGTTTGGGATGCAAGGAGATATTAGAAAAGGAGGTATTGGAAAGTTGGCAGGGAAGAGGCATGGCGGATGTTATGTGGCAAAGAATTCCAATAGGAGACGGAGCGGGCTAAGAAGGAACGTTGGTAGGTTTTTGTCCTGCGGAATGGAATATAGAGGTCAGAAACACGGGATCTCGTTTTTATTGAGTGGACTAAGGGTTTAGGCTGGAGGAGACAACAGATATAGGAAGGGTGCTGGGAGTTGATCGTTTGGTATAAGAAATTTCCAAGGAAGTATAGGCGGCGGGAAGATGGGAAGAGCCACTTTGACTCGGCATATAGGTGGGACACATGAGACCATCTCGAAGTGCCGAAGACGAATCTTAAAAAACAGTTCATGATTCTCTTCAGTCCGTCCTCAAGCTCCAACGAGAGGCCACCGTATACCACACAGCCATAGTCAAAGTAGGGGAGAATCAATGAGGAAACGAGGAAACGAGTACACTATAGGAGTACCAGTACCACTAAATTACTATACAGTCAGCGTATTCCCAATTCAGGAATAATCAAAAATAAGATCATCAGATAAGACATTGTCAGATCAACAAATGCACTATTTCTATCAATTCAGTTCGATTGATTGTTTTAACTGTTGGTGTAAGATGTGCGATATCTGATCTGCGATGTGTTCTGATGATGCCAATATTGAGATAATGTTGTTTGATTAATTATTACTAGATTATGAGAGAATTATTTTTATGAATATTATTAGATTATTGCATGTTATCATATAGCAGTGATTTTCGGTATATACTGAGGTTGGTTAGTAAATTGAACCAATATTGACTAGTAGTTTGTAATTTTTACAAATTTGTGATTCATGAAAAAGATCATGGTTCTCTGCAAGGAGTCAAAAACTGAGATAACTCATAATTTTGATCTGATATTGAATGTTGGCAGTTAATTAATAATAATTTATTTATTGTTTCAGGTAATTAAGACAGCTTTCTCATATTATAATTTTCTCACTGCTATGAATTTACAAAAGTGAAAGGAAAACAAATTTTCCAATTTTACAAAAATGCAGCGAATTCAGATTCTTTTATTAAATGCAATAAATATCTGTAGCTTACATTAGGGAGACAAAAATGTATAAATAAAGTGTTATAAATATATTGTGGTTTATAACTCAAATATATATAAGTTGCTGGGACAAGTTTTATGTAAGCCTTCATATCACTAGATAAATAATAAATAAAAAGACCAGTTACAAAGAGGTTACTGGTTACCTGATTTAACAGAACGAGATTAGGGAAAGAAATAAAAAAAAAAAAAGGTTACATCAACAACAATTTTGTTCTGGATAACATACAGAAATAAAAAGCGAACCAAGCTTAAAAAAGAAAAAGTTGTACAAAATATATAAATTAAACAACTTGCTACAGATAAAATATTTTTTCCTGGAGAGACTATTCAAGGAAGAATTGGATTACAAGCAATTTCTGAGCCCTTAAACTTTTGTATGGACTGTTTTTTTTATAGAGCTGTGATGTATTGATTGTATCTTGCACCATAATAGTCCGTGGTACAGACCCCTTTCTATCAAATTATTAACATCCTTCTGAATCTTCGTAAATAGCTTCATCACATCGTAATCTACAAATAATTTATTTACGAAAATTCTCGGAATTGGAGCGTTTTCAATCTGGAGGTCGGCAAACTTTGTCTATTTAATTAGGTATTAAAACACTTAAATACCCATTTACTTTCCACGTGGATGGTAAGACAATTTGAGCAGGAAGTCGATAAAAAAGGCGGCCTACAAAAATATTGTGCGGTTTGGCCTATATAACCTCGTTATTTTGATAATTTGGGGGTGTTTGTTACGCCTAACGGATCAATATTTTTAAAGGCCACCTTTTTCCTCGACTTCCTGTTCAAATTATTATGATCAAAGTGGATACCAAATGGGTATTTACGAGCTTTTAGTACCAAATTAAATAGATACAGTTTGCCGGCCTTCAGATTTAAAACGCCCCAATTCCAATAATTTTTGTAAATAAAATATTTGTTGGTTACGGTGTGATAAAGTTATTTACGCAGTTTCAGGCGGATGCTAATAAGTTGATAAAAAGGGGTCTGTACCACGGACTATATATCAGCAAATGTCATTAAACGATCAATGATTTATTACAGTACATATTGTTAAATAGTTTTTTGTAACTTTTTCTTGTTAAAATAGTATGTTACTGATATACTCCATTGATATGCTCTCTCTTTTTCTACAAAATATTCTGTATTTTAAGTTTAATTTTAGTCCACTTTAATTTAATTAAGCTAAGTAATTAATTTTGTCATTATTATTAATTTTTTAAACAAAGATTTCGTTAATAATTTTCACTTCGAGCTACTGAATTACTTAAATTACCAAGCACAGGTTTGCAATTTACAATCCTCTGACAAGGAATCATGCAATATGTGAATGCATGACCAATAAAAAAAAAACAAAAAAAAATACGTGATGAAAGTTTTTTTTTTAGAAGGTCTGACCTTATATACTTTTCTGACGTCTAAAATAAGAATCACCAGGATTCGAATGAGAAAACGTTGAAAACTGATGGGTATGGACTTCATAGCAGAAATATATTGAAATATATATATATATATATATATATATATATATATATTTTTTTTTTTTTTTTCCTTACGTGGTAACCCCACACAAGGATCGTTTATTTGATTTTCCTTCATGCTCCATGCCTTAAAGACATACTACATGAATTACATTTGTTTACAATTGTTTTTTTTTTCTAGTTTCACATGATTTACATTTTTAGTTCAAATTTATATACATTAACAAAAAAAAACACAAAGAATAAACACACAAAAATTAAATCGGAAAATTAAATATTAAACACACAAAGTCAATCTAACAAAGCCAAAAAGAAATCACCCACGCTGCCCATCCCTGGTTAGTAAGTCGAAGTCGATCGATCTAATAAATCTAAGAAAGTCTGTCTTGAATTCAGTAAATAACTTTTGTTCCGTCTCAGGCCAATTTCCTCTTTTGATAATTATACTTTTTATTAACTCAAATCGCTGTCTGTCAAATCGTTTACATTCATATATTATATGTTTAAAATTTTGAACCTGTCCGTCTTCATCACATAAGTCTGTTTGTATAATGTTGAATCTTTTAAGATATTGTTTTGTATTCCCATGTTCCGTAAGTACTTGCGTAAGTTTGTAGTCATTACTGTGAATGTGTCTGTAATTGTGAATTGAAATGTGTGGTATAAATCTGTGTAAGCTTGGTGACTTAGCTGAGGTCACCCATATGTGATCCCATCTTTTGATGAAATCCAACTTTAAATTCATATTAATATACGATAAAGGAGCTTGATGATACGATGGCGGCAAATCGCTTTTAGCTGCTTCTTTTGCAAGGCAATCGGCTCGTTCATTGCCCTCAATCCCACAATGTGCTTTTACCCATTTTAGAGTCACTACTTTCCCTACAGTTCTCATCATTAACAATTTGTTTCTAATTTGGTCAGTCAAGTAATCATGAATGTCCCAATTATTAACAGAGTCTAGCAGAACTTTGTTGTCTGTATTTATAGTAACGTGAGTATTCGTTTGTAGAGGGTATTCATATATGTATTCAGTAACCTTTAAAACAGCGAATTTTTCTGCCTGATTATTTGAACAATATGATTCTAATTTATATTGATGTTCTATATTCCTACCATCTTGAGCTCTGAACAACCATGCACATCCAACATTCTCGCCGTCCTTACTACCATCAGTGAAAACATCAGTATTTTCAGAAGTAATTCCCGGTCCAGTCCATAAACTTGTTGCAGGGTGTAACCAAGATTTACAGTCAGTGATTCTTTCTATTTTGTCTAGGGTCAGGTCTTTGTATCCTCTCTTTCCTTTTCTAATGTTATATAAGGTCGTTCGTTCTTCAATCTTCATTTGGATTGGCAACAGCCCTGCCAATAATATTGTGGCCTCGAATGATAGTGTACGATAGCCCTTACATATCTTAATCGCAATTAACCTCTGAAGCCTTTCCAACTTCACCAAATTTTTCTTACGTTCAACGGCCGGATGCCAGACATGCACAGCGTAGAGCATCTTAGGAAGTACAGCAGCTTCATAAATTTCCTTTAACACTTTCGATCTGAGTCCCCATGTCGCTCTTGCAGCCACTGATAGTCCATTTATAATCCTTAAAGTGTTGTCATATAGATTATCTATATGTCTGTTCCAATTCAGTTTTCTGTCAAAGAGAAGCCCCAAATATGATAATGTATCACATTGCGTTATTCTTACTGTATTGAGTCGAATATCCAATTCTGGTACAATTCTCTTTTTTGTGAAGATTATATATTTTGTCTTGTCTAGATTAAATTTAAGTTTGTTGCGTCTAGTCCATCGTCTCAGCCTTGATAATGTTATGTTTGCTATTGTCTGTAATTCATCGAAATCTCTTCGTTTTATAAGTAATAATAAATCGTCTGCGTATGCTAATAATGTTGAATTTTCCTGTAGGTCTATTTCGAAAACAGTATTGATTAAGATGTTCCATAGTATAGGTGATAGTGCTGATCCTTGAGGAGTTCCTAGCGTCAATTTCTTGTCAATATAATGAAAGTTTGTTTGGATTGCAAGTTTTCTGTCAGAAAAATAATTTTGAATGATTTTGTATATGTTTTTTGGACACTTATATTTCTTTAGATTATTTAAAATCGCAGGCCACCAGGCGTTGTCAAAGGCACCCGCGATATCCAAAGAAACAACCAGTAAATTACTATTTTGCCGGAGTGTACTGGTGATATGGTCGTTCAATTCACTGAGTGCATCGTCAGTTCCTGATTGGGGTCTGAATCCAAATTGGTGTCGGTGGAGTATATTGTTACTAAGTAGATGATGCATTAATCTATTTTTTATTATTTTTTCAAAAATTCTACTCATTACAGGAAGCATACTTAGTGGTCTCAGTGAAAATGAATTAGCCTTAGGAATCAATGTTAATTTACCCACCTTCCAACTTTTAGGAAATTCATTTCTTTTGAATAAGGTTTTATAAAGTCCAGTTATCAATTTTGGATAGGAGTCAGCTATCTTTTTTATCATTCTTGGGTCAATTTTGTCTATTCCTGGCGCTTTCTTGTCATCCAATTTATTAATAACTTGTAATATTTCAAAATCCCGGATATTAGTGTCATCATCATTATTAGGCGGGATAAGTATTTCTGTTCTCATTTGTCTGTGTTCGTTAGTGTCATCACTTGTATTGTCATCTTTGATTATCTTATTTAATATATGAGATAATGTATTCTTAGTGTCTGTTGTGTATGTTCCTAGTTCATTCAAAGTGGTAGTGAGTAAGGTTTGAGGTTTTATTTTATTGGATACAAACTTATATGGCCATTGCCACGCCTTTGATGCAGTAGCAAATGTCTTCCAGGACTTTAATTTGGAACTTTTAATTAGCTTTTGATATGCTTGCCTACTTTTGAGATAGATCACTCTCCTTGATTCCCTTAGTCCATCGTCTTTTGTCCGCTGGTAATTTCTTCTTAGATGATTTGTCTCTTTACGCAAGCCAGTTAGTTCAGGGTTCCACCAAGGTACTGATCTTTTTCTAGTTCGACCTTTGAAATGGCCGGATCTTTTGAATGCTATATTGCAAGATTTTACGATAGATTTTATCATTTTATTTATGATAATATCAGTAGGCATAAGAGAAAACTCATTAAGAATCAGCTTTTCGGTATCATAAACTGTCAATTTCTTCTTATCAGTACAATGTTGAGATAAAAACTGTTTTTCTAACTGATGTATTAAGTTAGCCAAGAATTTATTCCAGTCACCATTCTCTGTCAAATATATATAGTCTTTTGCTAGCACTCCAGTTTTATCATTTCCCTGTAAATGTAACTCATAAGTCAAAATGTTGTGGTCCGAAAAATTTGTTTCTCTAGAAATTGTCCAATTTTTTACAATATTATGTCTAATCAGTTTTGTATTAGATAATGT